GTGATGGGAGTGTGGTCTACCAGCACGCAAGATACAACAAACGCTTGGTTTATTTTGGTCATTTGAATACTCAGTTGTACCTTTCCAGACCTCACTAGCCCTCTGAAAAGAGAGGTACAGAAATAAGGAGAGTCTGCCAGGTCTGGCTGAAATGCCCCTTGCTTATTGCAGGCAAATGGGGCAGTCAGCGCGAAGCAAGACCCACACCCCGTGTGTGGGGCTCCTTCTCCTTCCATCTGTTTGCTGCTGCTCCCCTTTGTAGGCCTCACAAGACTAGACCCAGCCCCTCCTCCTTCGCTTCCAAGGCTCTGCTCAGATGCCTCTCAAATTTGTCTCCAAACATGTACGCTCTGCAATTAACCCTAAAATTAACATGGAAAAAATGTATGCCTCTGATTATTTAATATGCTCTAGTTATGTTACTCAGTTATTCACTCTAGAAGCACATGTTAAGCTTCTCACATGAGCCTGGCTCTGTGCCCAGGGAAAAGTCTGAACATACTGGGGCCACAGACAGTGGTCGGTGATGTCAGTGGACTGGCTGCTAAGGTTCACCTTAGGACAAACAGAGCAGCCAGGAAAGCACAGGAGGGCACCTATCCATGTCTTCAGAGGTCCAGGAAGGCTTCCTGGAGGAGACATCTCAAGTGGGACCCACAGGTCAAGCTGAACTTGGCCAAGAAACGGAGCCTGGAGGAGCTTGGAGATAGATTGACAAGGCATTTGGGGGGACCAAGGTTTCAAGCAATGAGAACCACGTGTAGAAAGGACTGGAAGAGACTGTGGACTTCAAAGACTCAAAGCCACTGCACCACACACTTTTTAACATATTTCTAACCACGCAGAGACTTCAAGTATAATTTCCTACCTAAACTGTCACGTGAGAATGATGCACTCAATGTTTTCTACCAAGCACAGTGTGAAATCTAACAGACGGGGATAGGAAACGCAACTGTGCTGTCCAGGTTCTGTATTAATTACCTTCATTTCAAAATGCTTAAAATATTGCCCTTGGGAAAGGTTCCCACATGCCCTCATGATACTCCTCTCCTAAGGGGTCTTCCCGGAACCAAGACCCTTTCACCAGTCATTTAGGTGTTTGTGTTGGGGGGTGTGGTTTGTGTGTGGGGTCCCCTTAGAGCCAGCTACTGTCATGGGAAGAAGCCAGAGAAGGGCCAGGCGCGGTGGCACACACCTGTAATCCCAGCACTTTGGGAGGTCGAGGTAGATGAATCACCTGAGGTCAGGAGTTCGAGACCAGACTGACCAACATGGTGAAACCCTCTCTACTAAAATGCAAAAATTAGCCAGGTGTGGTGGTGGGCACCTGTAATCTCAGCTACTTGGGAGGCTGAGGCAGGAGAATCGCTTGAACCCAGGAGGGAGAGGTTGCAGTGAGCCAAGTTCACACCATCGCACTCCAACCTGGGCAACAAGAGCAAAACCCCGTCTCAAAAAAAAAAAAAAAAGTATGTGTACAACGCAAGAGTTTGGAATAAGTCTAATATTTTATCATTGGTCTTTTACTATCTCTCATGATGCTCCTCTCCTAAGCAGTCTTCCTGGAACCAAACCCCTTTCACCATTTAGGTGTTTGTGTTGGGGGGTGTCGTTTGTGTGTGGGGGCCCCTCAGAGCTGGCTCCTGTCATGGGATGGTGTCCCATCTCAGGTGCAGACTTCTGTAGGCCGGGCTTGTGCAAGAAAAGAGCAGTACTCCCAGCTCCGAGTCTCCTGCTGTGCCCAGGCAGGCCTCTGCCTCCCTGACCAGGGCTCTCATCTCTGAATGTCTCCTCACCTCCCACCTGTATGCTTCTCTGCAGGTCAGGTGAAGGGAAGGAGCTTGGAGGGCTAACGTCAGATGTGGAGACCACGGTCCATTCGTTACTCACCTCCCCTGGCAGGCCTGGAAGAAAGCAGAATGGGAGATGCTCGGGGCAGTGTACAGGAGAAACAGGCTTTGTCCCTCTCCACTTGGAACCTCCTTTTGTTTTGTGCCGGGGCTGCCTTATGTTCAAGAGAGTCATTGGCTCTCGAAAAAACTAGGTGGCCAGGAAGCAGGAAGGGCAAGGAAGTAAAGAAGTAAGACGATTCTCAAGAGTTTTTTCCAGGTTGATAGGCAAGAGGTAAAGGCCCACTTCAGGTTTCCCTATAGAGTACTGACTAGTTTACTAGGATGTGAATGGAGACAGGGGTCCAGAGCCGAAACTTTATGTGATGAAACCATAGTCACTATCGTTAAAAAAGCCAATGTGTACTCAGCACGTGGCCTATACTAGGCCCCAGCCTAGTGTTTCTATGTACAGTCACATCTCATTATCTTAGGTAGTTATGTTCTATAAAGTCACTACAAACACAGTGAATTAATGAACATTGAATCATTCCTTCTAGGGAAAATCCAAGGTTACGTTCCTGAAGCCCCTGGCCACATTTTTGTCAACAGATCCATACATAACCTTGTTTATATGTGTGTTGATATTTACAGACACCTTATTTAATAGTGTTGATTCATTAACATTGAACTCATGGCCAACAGCACTGTAACTCTTGCCTGAATAAAGTTTGTCTAACATAGGTATTCTCCCCTTAAGGCACGTCATGGTCTTCCTGTGCTGAGGACACAGGACAGTCCCTCAGTACTGTGCTTGGGGGTCATTTTCAACACTGCATTTTCCAAGTAAAATTTCCTATACCCAAGTGCAGGTTGAACCAATGAAACTGCCCTTAGTTCAACCTCATTTATCCTTGGAAAGCAATCTTTCCATGACTGGAGTTGTCAGTTTATTTCATCTTTTTCCAAGTGGACAACTACAGTTATTATACTTGAAAATCTTGAAAGCACTTATATCAGAGGCACGTGAACCAGAGCAATCCCATTTTAAATAGCGGCTGGGTAAGATGAGGCCAAGACCTACTGGGCTGCATTCCCAGAAGGTGAAGGCATTTTAAGTCACAGGATAAGACAGGAGGTCGGCACAGGATACAGGTCATAAAGACCTTGCTGATGAAACAGATTGCAGTAAAGAAGCCAGCCAAATCCCACCAAAACCAAGATAACCTCTGGTCATCCTCACTGCTACACTTCCACTAGCACCATGACAGTTTACAAACACCATGGCAGCAGGAAGTTACCCTGTATGGTCTGAAAAGGGAAGGTACGAATAATCCACCCCTTCTTTAGCATATCATCAAGAAATAACCATAAAAATGGGCAACCAGCAGCCCTCGGGGCTGCTCTGCCTGTGGAGTAGCCATTCTTCTGTTCCCCAACTTTCTTAAGAAACTTGCTTTCACTTCACAGACATGCCCTGAATTCTTTCTTTAGCACAAGATCCAAGAACCGTCTTTCCGGTGTTGATCTGGACTCCTTTCCTATTAACACTTACAGATGTACTCTATGCTTTATTCAATAGAAGCACAGAGTTTTATTATTCTATAGATGTCATATAATTACTTTCTAACGTTTTAAAGTTAAGGACATAAGGATAAGACTTCACATGTTAGTATGACTAGGCCACATAGAAATATCTCCTGCCTAAAAGACGCTGAACATTAGACTGTTTTTGCACGACTTATTTTCCTGGGGTTCTTGTGGTATTTGTTTTTATCTAACTGAATTTAGATCAAATCTCTACTGAGGCTGTAGGATGGACAATGAAACTTTTTTGGTATCCACCTTTTTAACTGAAAGATTTTAGGGAGAAAATGGAGTGGACGAAGCAGTTAAACGAAATAATAGACATTCTCATTACCAGCTTACCAAACCTAGAAGCAAACAGAGGAGCGAAAGCTATCACTTAATGACTTTGGAGTGGTATATTTATAAAAACCTCCAAAGTTCTCTGGGGTCCGTATGACACAGGCAGCTCTGATTTTTAATCTCCTTTCTTAGCAGGGTGGAAAACAATAAGAGAAAAAGATGCCACTTCTTCATTTGTTAGTGTTTGTTCACCCAGCACAAGTCAGAGAACAGCAAACACTTGTTCAATGGTCTGCACTGTTTACACGAAACTGGAAAGATGGGTTGGATTTACTATTCCTTTTATAAGTAAGATTACACTCTTTCAAACTCTTGGCCGGCCAGTGAACTGCGTAAAGAAATAGCTCTCACAGCCAGGCGCGGTGGTGCACACCTGCAATCGCAGCGCTTTGGAAGGTTGAGGCAGGCGGGTGACGAGGTCAGGAGTTCGAAACCAGCCTGCCCAACATGGTGAAAACCCGTCTCTACTTAAAAATACAAAAAAAAAAAAAAAAAAAAATTAGCTGAGCGTGGTGGCGCGCACCTGTAATCCTAGCTACCTGGGAGGCTGAGGCAGGAGAATTACTTGAACCCGGGAGGCGCAGGTTGCGGTGAGCCGAGAGGCCACTGCACTCTAGCCTGGGCGACAAGGCGAGACTCCACCCCACCAACCAAAAAAAAAAAAAAAAAAGCTCTCCCGAAGGCAAAGGCGTGGGGCAGCCTCCGAGACGGTCTGATGCAGCTCCTCTTTCCTCCCGGGAGGCAGGTGTTCGTGTCTCCAGAGGAGGAGACCCAGCTGCGAGAGGGGCGACGCCTCCAGGGAGCCTCGGGGTGGCAGGGCGCTCGTCGGAGCACGGCCACCTGCCCTCAGCCGCCCCCGGCTCCCCGATTCCAGCCGAGCGAGGACGCAGACGGGGCCTTGGCTCTGGGAACCTGGGGCGCCGCGGACCCGCCCAGGGAGGCGCCCCCGCGGGGTCCGGGGCACGATGGATCTGCAGGGCTCCGTGGTCGTGCCCCGGTCGGTCTACACTCACGGCTGTGCGCCCGCTACGGTCAACAGGCCCACACCCCCGCCGTGTCCCCGCGCACGGGACGCCCCTACCGTCAGCGCTGTGGCCGCGGCACGGGACGCCCCTACCGTCAGCGCTGTGACCGCGGCACGGGACACCCCTACCGTCAGCGCGCACTCCGCGGGCTCCCCCGCCCCCGACAGGCCCGAGGAGAAGGCTGGCGAGCATGCGCACACCGCTACGCCGGCGCACCGGAAGTGGGCGGGCCGGACCTCCGGCCGTCTGCGGGGATCCGGCTTCGGGTTTCCTGGTGGGCGCCAGGGGCCGGCGGGAGAGTGGCGGGCGCTGCGGCCCGGGGGCGAGGCCATGGAGAAGCTGCGGCGGGTCCTGAGCGGCCAGGACGACGAGGAGCAGGGCCTGACCGCGCAGGTAGCGACGCCGCGCCCTGGGGCTGCCCGCCGTCCCCGGCCGCCGTGAGGACGCGCGGAGCGGGTGGAGTAGCTGAGGCCCGGGGTCTGGGCGGCCTCTGCTCGGCGGGCGGATTTAGGAGGCTTCAGCCTGCTTCCTGGGGAGGTTTTGAGAACGTTCTCGATTTCCGTGGGGTCTGCTGAAGCCCACTGTGAGACCTACCCTCCGGCTTCCCCCCCGGGCCTTCCGACTCTCAGGAACCCGCTCACGCCCGCCTTCGCCGTCCCACGCCGTCCGTCGCTCCCACGCCCTGCTCGGTTTTCTGAGCCTCGTGCGGGGTCTGGCCTCGGGCTGTGCGACGCAGGCGGCTGTGCAGGGCGGGCATCCTGCGAGCTGCGGGGAGCCAGGCCGCTCCGCTGGGCGCGCGCTTGTTTGTCTCGGGGTGAATGAAGCGCAGTGTGTGTGTGTGTGTCCTCTGGAGGTAAATGAGGCGCAGTGTGTGTGAGTGTGTGTGTGTGTGTGTGTGTGTGTTGCCTCTGGAGCTAAATGAGGCGCTGTGTGTGTGTGTGTTGCCTCTGGAGGTAAATGAGGCACTGTGTGTGTGTGTGTCCGTCTGGAGGTAAATGAGGCGCAGTGTGTGTGTGTGTCTGTGTGTGTGCGCGCGTGTTGCCTCTGGAGGTAAATGAGACGCTGTGTGTGTGTGTGTGTGTGTGTGTGTGTGTTGCCTCTGGAGCTAAATGAGGCGCAGTGTGTGTGTGTGTGTGTGTGTTGCGAGTGTGTTGCCTCTGGAGCTAAATGAGGCGCAGTGTGTGTGTGTGTGTGTGTGTGTGTTGCGAGTGTGTTGCCTCTGGAGGTAAATGAGGCGCAGTGTGTGTGCGTGTGTGTGTGTGTTGCCTCTGGAGCTAAATGAGGCGCAGTGTGTGTGTGTGTGTGTGTGTTGCGAGTGTGTAGCCTCTGGAGGTAAATGAGGCGCAGTGTGTGTGTGTGTGTGTTGCGAGTGTGTTGCCTCTGGAAGTAAATGAGGCGCAGTGTGTGTGTGTGTGTGTGTGTGTGTGTGTCAAACCGGACATTGGTAAGTGAAAGGTAGTGAGCCCTGGTAAGAGATTTTTTTTTTTTTTTAATAAAAGCCCTTGTGTCTGCGCCTTACCCATGAGACTTGATAAGTGTTAACTTCCTCCAGCAAGAAGGTTAAGATAGCAGTGCGGCAGGAACTGCGCATGAGGATTTTTGTTATTGCATGCGATTATATTGCACGTTATTGTTGTGTGCTGTCACAGAAGTTGAACTTTTAAAAATGAATTGTGTTTTATAAGGATCTTCTATTTGTCTCTTCCCGACTTCCTTCCTTGTCATTATACTTACTCAGCACTTCTTGTGGGCAGAGTTCTGGGCTAGCGTTTTGGGTTCAGAGAATATAAGACAAGTATGTTCTCAGTACACCCTGTAACTCTATAAATAGTAATACGAGAACCTATAAACAGTAATGTCAGTAAGGCACTATGTGGCTTACCCAACTAAGTTCACGTTTCTTGAGCCACTATTTTGTGCTCTGCTTGACGTTCTACATCTGTGTTGTACAATACATTATTACCACAGCCACGTGTGGCCAATTAATTTTTTTTGAGATGGAGTCTCGATATGTTGCTCAGGCTGGAGCTTAGTGGTGCGATCTCAGCTCACTGCAACCTCCTCTTCCTCAGGTTCAAACAATTCTCCTGCCTCAGCCTCCTGAGTAGCTGGGATTACAGGCACCTGCCACCACTGCCGGCTAATTTTTTTATTGTATTGTTAGTAGAGATGGGGTTTCACCATGTTAGGCTGGTCTCGAACTCCTGACTTCAAGTGATCCGCCCATCTTGAACTCCCAAAAAGCTAGGATGACAGGCTTGAGCCACTGAGCCTGATCAATTAAATTTAAATTAATTAAAATGAAATAAAATGTAAAATTCAGTTTCTTAGTCACAGCAACCACATTTCCTGTGTTCAGTAGGCACATGTGGTTGAAGCCTACTATATTGAACAGTGCAGATACAGAATATTTGCATTGCAGAAAGTTTTATTGGATTGTGCTACTCTAAACTTTAGAGATGCAAAGGTGACATCACTTATCTTGAGCCCACTGTCTGGAGGGGAGAAAGATAGGTGGAGAAGTAATCAGAGATTAGAGTAACTGGCTGTATGTACAAGTGCCGTGAGTTCAGAGGACATGATCTCATTAACGAATATTCAAGTTCCTACATATATTTGGTATAGTTCAAGATGCAGGTGTTAATAAAAGTGACCAACACAAAGAAGTCTTTCACATGGAACTTAAATTTTAATTGAAGGAAACAGTGAACAAACACGTATATAATGGGTCAAACAGCCACAGGAGAAGTCATAGCAGGTTGAGGAGTTTGGAGTTGCCATATTATGTAGATAAGGCCTGCCTGCCACGGAGCCATATGAGCATAGCTCAGAAGAGCTACTGGGATGTCTGGGCATCCTGTGAATAAGAGCCTCCGAGGCAGAGAGCATGGCAGATACGGAGTCCCGAGTGGAGTGTGGCCAGCATGTTCAAGGCCAGTAAGGAGGCCAGAGGGCCTGGAGCAGGGGGGCAAAGAAGAGGGACGAGTACAAGAGAGAAAGTGAGGCAGGAAGGGGGATTCTCAGTTGTGGGGGTTCTCATAGGCTATAGCAGGTGTCCCCAAACTATGGCCCGCGGGCCGCATGCGGCCCCCTGAGGCCATTTATCCGCCCCCCCACACACACACACTTCAGGAAGGGGCACCTCTTTCATTGGTGGTCAGTGAGGGGAGCACAGTATGTGGCGGCCCTCCAGCGGTCTGAGGGACAGTGAACTGGCCCCCTGTGTAAAAAGTTTGGGGTCGCCTGGGCTATAGAAAGGATTTTAGCTTTACTCTGAGCGTGACAGGAAGCCTTTGGGTTTTGAGCAGACTGGTGGTGTGACGGACTTGGATTTTAAAGGATCACTCTGGTTACTCTGTGGAGAACACACTATAGGGACATGGTTAGAAGGTCAGAGACTGGGCTGCGGACAAGTACAGCAGTCCTGCCTAGAGAGGACCGTGACTCAGATTAGTGATAGAAGTGGTATAAAAAGCAAAAAAAGCCTGTTTAAACAACACAAAATAGTCAGATTCTGTAAATGGTCTGAGTGTGTAGCCAGCGGGCCTCGCTGTTGAGGGATTGCATGTGTGAGAGTGAGAGGAGCCAAGAATGCCTCATGGCATTCGACCTGAGCATCTGGAGAGGTGGAGTTGCCATTCAGTGAATGCGGGAGGGGCAGCTTCAGGGAGGAAAGTCATTTCAGTGTGGATGTGAAGTCTGAGATCAGGTAGCGTCCAAGTGGAGATGTCAGGAAAGCAATTGGATATAAGACTCCAGAGTTTGTGGGAGGAAATATGAGAGAGAGGAGATCATCAAGTAGGAAAGAGATGAAGTCCAGGCTTTAACCTCTGGTTTTCTCTGGTGTGTAGAGGTCTAGAGGATGGCAGGCGCTATCCTTTAGATAGAGGCAGGCTGAGCAGATGCCAGCAAAGACAACTGAGAGGAGCGGTGAGAGGAGGAGGAGGAGAACCAGGAGAGTAGGATGCCCCGGAAAGTGAGGGAAGAGAGTGCTTTAGGAAGGGGAGGGCACCTAGTACTCTTGTTGGGTCTCAGAAGTTAAGAGCAGATTACCTGTGGAGGTTATCTCCAGGAAGTTGTCACTTCCGCAAGAGCAGTCTTGGTGGCTGAGTGGTGGCAGAGGCCTGATTGAAGTCAGGGGAGAACAATAAGAGAAGGTGGAGACGATATGGCCATCTCAGTGATTTTTTCCTGTAGAGCAAAGAAGTGCGTGGTAGTTGAAGGATGCAGTGGGGTCGGGGAGCATATCATTTTTCCAAGGAAAATACTGCATGTCTCTGTGCATTGGGAATGGTCCAGGAAACGGGAAAATGATGGTGCAGGCCAGAGGAGATTGTTGCTAGGAGCCTATTCAGGAGTCATTTGGAAGCGGTGGGATCTGATGCACAGGGAAGGGTGCGGTCTGGGTGGGCGCGCACAGGCTGATGGGAGGCGGGGCCCAGAGTGCATCCAGGCACAGGTGCAGATGCAGTGCTTGGAGCATGTGGGAATGGTTTTTATGATTCCTTACTTGTTCTGTCTGAAATAGGAAATAAGCCTACCAGCTGGAAGTTTGCAGGAGGTGGTCTTAGAAGTTCAAAGAGAAGGTCTGAAGTGGTTGCTGAAGGAGAGGGAATGGATAAGGGAGGCAGCAGCCCTGCTTGCATCCTGAGGCCCCACCTGCTGAGGATAAGTGACAGTCAGCATAGTTACGAGTTTTATCTCCAGCCACACACTGCAGCAGGAGCACAGGGCAGGGAGTTTGGTTAACCAGAGTTCAGTTTTGCCTGGTGAACACAGGAGGACAGAAGGTGAAGGAGTTGTGCATGTGTGTAAGGAGTGACCACAGGAGAGCAGTGACGGCATAGGGGAGTGTGGGGAGAGGTGAGGTGTGGTAGGACCCATGGGCCATGGGGAGCTAGAGCTGTCGGAAGGTGGCAGTGCTGGTCCGAAAGAGGAATACTTGAAATTGAGATTATAGGGACTACTGAGATTATAGTATGTTTATTATTACTAGATAGGGGATTTGGTGGCTGAGGTCGGGGGTGGATTGGATCATTGGAGGAGAAAAGGTCAAGGAACCAAGACTCTTCGAGTTTTGAAAGGATTGTTTACACCGCTAATGAAACCACCATGAATTGAAACAGGATTGGTGGGCAGATGCCAGTGAGCCCCATACAGAGGCCTTCACAGGAGGAGAGGTGTGAGCTAGAGGGAGTAGGTGATGCAGGGAGGAGTAGTGGAAGGCACAGAGTGATGCAGGACTTGAAAGCAGGTGTCTCTAGGGAGGAGGAAGGGCAGGAAGTGGCAGTGAGGAGGGGAAGACACCGAGCTCACTACCTGTCCAAGTGGTGCAGGGGAGAGCGCTGGCCCTGGAGACCAAATGTCAAACCCGGCAGGAAGGCGAGAGGATG